GCAGCTATTTTGTTTTTCAAGATTCCCTCTTATGCTTCTGCTTTGCTATTTTGCAGTGAGAATAACTCTTACTTTATCACCTCTCCTTTATTTTCATTGGATAACTGTGATTTTCAGTAGTGTGAGACGTAATATAAACCATTCTCTTTTTTACCTAATATGTAGTTTATTTTAAAAAAAAGTCCACTTCTCCCTTAAAATCTCTCTCTTCATCCTCTGGCCATCGTCTTTGTCGTGAGCACGCCTACTTCTTTTTCACATTTCCTACCTCCCAAAACCTTCGGCTGCAGTATAGTGCAAATTGTGAGAATGCAAATGTAGGAGGTTCGTCTCTGAGCCAGGAACAAGCACCAGGCGGTTGCTTGAAGGAGAGAGAAAACTTCGTTTCCGAGAGCCAGATACCCAACACATACACAACACGGCTCTTGACCTTGACCTTGTCTTAGTAGTAAATAGTGCTGGAACTGGAGGTTATGACTGCCACCCATTCCAGTCCTTTCCCCGGATACTGTCTCACCCAGTACATGTAATAGCTGCTGAAGGTGAATCCAGAGCCTTGGCAGGAGAGACGGAGGGAATCTCCAGGTCTTCTCACATCCCCTCCAGACTCCACCAACTGGACCTCTGACTGGACACCTAGAAAGAAACATTGTATATTAAGACCTTCTGCAGGTAAATTCAAAAGGGTGATAAAAAACTTCTGGAAACTCTGGTTATTATTGCTAGCCCTCCCTCATGGCCAATTTGTTCTGGGTGACAATACTGCCTTCCAGTGTGAAAGATGAGAAGTAGCAACATAGGATGAATTGTCCAGGACATGCTTGTATTGCAAGAGGGACAGTGATTCTGGGAAGAAATGGTTGATCTCCAGGAGATTTAAGGACCTCTAGTGAAGAACCAAAGCTGTTCTTTAATTTCCTCACTGGAAATAGCCTTTAAAGAGTTACTATATTAGATTTTTGGACAAGGAGGAAGAGCATTTTTCCTAAATAATTTCTCTGGCTTGAGGAGGTTTATTTGCAGAAACAGCTGGCTTTTGGCATTGTCCCTGGAGATGGTGAAGCCTCCTTTCACTTTGAGTAGATCATTTCACTGGAATCAGTATATATGTATGCAACCCATTCCAGTCCCATTCCCAGATATTGTCACACCCAGTACATGTCACAGCTGCTGAAGGAGAATCCAGAGTTTGGCAAGAAGGTTGGAGGGAATCTTCATGTCTTCTCACATCCCTTCCAGACTCCACCAACTGGACTTGAGATTGGACACCTGGAATGAATGGTTGTTTGATAAGACCTCCTTCAGGTAACCATGAAAAAGGAGGAAAACCCACTGGGGTTGGAAGGGAAAGTAATACCTCTCAGGAGTACTAATAACAACATGAGGTTCAGCCAGAGTGTCATTTTTGCTCAGTGTAAAGATCGGAGAAGTCTCATTAATGGGAAAACATTCAGACAGCTACCAAAACTTGCGTGGTTGGGCATAGGAGGAGAACAGGAAGATGTGACTCCTTTGAGCAGGAAGCTCTCCCTGAGTTTACATAGCCCTCAGGATAAAAGAGCCTTGCACTGCTTTGACCTTCAAAAGTTCCTTCATCCTACAACTTAGACATGGTTTTCCAATGCTGAACAAGTCAGAACACCAGTCAAGGCACAATTTTTAAATCCTTAAGAAATAAGTGAAGCAGCAGGGTTATCTTATAGGAGGTAAAACCATGTCTTGCAACGTTAAAGATCCTGTGGCTCATTTGAGCAGGAAACTCCTCTTGAATGTACATAGTCT